ATTCTCATGCTCCACCATGACCAACCACTTCTCTTTCTTCTAGGGAATCTTTTCATTCTCTCCCTTCTGGCTTTCTTCTCAAGCCTATCAGGAGTGCCCTGTGTACTTCTCTTGAGGCAATCCTAACCACGGTTAAGCATGAACTTTCATTCAGGGTGCAACTCTCTTTTGTTTTATTCCTTTTAAACAGCTAACTCATTCTCTGTGTTCTGTTTTGGTTTTTGTTTGTTTGTTTGTTTTTGTTTTTTAAATATGAGCTATGATAAAACAGGCATGTTCAGTTTAGAAAATGACTATAAACCTTGTGCTTCTTTGTAATTCCTCATTTCCAATCAACGTCTGGCCTACAGGTCCAGATAACTACAGCTAAAGAAGCCTAAGCAGAGGGTGGGCTGGGTGCACGTCTGCAACATGCTAGTGACTGCATTCTTTCTGGTCATCCTTTGAGCCAGCTCGAGCAGCCTGTGGATCCTCTCTCAATGCCTCTGGAGCAGATGTGCCTCAACTGGAGCTATGCTTCTGGAGTCTGGTATTGCTATCCTAAAGCCAGTGGCCAGGCCACAACACTTAGCTCTGGCTACAGTCTCCACAAAGATGCCCATTAAACACATGAGAACACAAGTTGGAAAGGGATATCTTTACCAAAGATCTCAATCTTGTTACCCAATCTGGGGGGAAACTTTTATTGTGCTAAGTAATTCACTAAAAACAAAACAAACACACATAAAAAAAAAAAAATACCACACCTACATAAAACATCTGTGTGGTCAGTACATTTATAAACCAATTCTATCAGATAGTGGTAGAACAGAAAATAACTGAGGCTTGTGGGCAGCACGTTCTCCTATCCAGTGTTCTTTGCAGTCTGGGCGAAAGAGAGGTGAGGGCAGCAAAGATAAGGCTCCCTTGATCACCTTCTAAAAAAGAGTAGACAGCATCTCCTGTACTACACTCTCAACGGGCCTTCAGGGTATTTCAAAGTTTCACTCTCATGTAAGGCTAAAAAAGAATGAACGAACACTTTCATCACAACCACACACTTTGAAAGACTAATTTCAAAACAATTTCTATATTTTATTTATTATCTTTGGTTGGAACTGCCTGACTGGGCACCCTTGGTGTCCAGCTGAGTGCCTGGCGAGTGCTGGGCCTGCCTCATATGCTTACCACCTTTTGCTCTTCAATATTTTCTACATAGAGGTGATTTAGCTTTATTATTTATTTTTATAATAAAAAAAAAACTATAGTCAGAATTATTTTGGGTTGTTTCTTCTCTAGATGATGGTCCACCTTTGTTTTCAGCCTGTCACCAAGGTGTCCCTTCTCAGAACTAGATGCACAAAAAGCCTCTCCTCGGTTTTGTAGGTCCAAACTTCCAATCTGTCTACCAACTCAGTCTTTCCCACCTTGCAGCCTCAGTTGTTGTTTCTCCCACAAACTCTCATCTCACCCTGACTTCCTCCATCAATTACACAAATGCTCTCTTCCAGCTCTCCCTGATGCCAATTTTAGGAGCTTAGGTGTCTGCATACTAGAACCAGCTAGTTTATGTTGCCCTGCAGCTCAGATCCCGGGAAAGAGAGCTGGCTCCCTCCACTAACTGAGATGTTAGAGGCACTAGTATCAAGACCAGTGGTTGTGGTGGCAGTGCAAACATGTCAGGACAACTCTTCTATATAGCCTTAATGCACCAACTCAAGTTCTTCATGGAACCTACCCAAGTCCATAGTCACTTAGGTGCTGCCTCCTTACAGCTTTGTGTTCTGCTTGCCATTGTAGCTGGAGTGCCTAATCAATGATTGAACAGGATCAATCAGGTCTCCCTTCAAAGTCTGCTATGGACCATGTTCTTAGATTACTGACACAAGGAATATCTGGATACCAATATCCAAATTCTGCTGAGACAGAGCACTATTCATTATAAAATTTCTGTCTCACAGTAAACATGAATTAACCAACAGAGACACAGTCTCCATTCAAACACCCAGACTCACTTTTTCTTGTAGTTAAATTCAGGAGGAAGTATCAGTTACACATTCTGTACCTGATCTCAGAAGGCTCTGTTAGCTGACTCCTATAAAAATCACAGCCTCACACATAGAAATACTGTTGTTACCTTTCAGCAAGATGGAAGTTGAAATAGAACCATTGCTTGGTTTAAAGTTTCTTTCAAAAAAAAAAAAAAAAAAAAAAAAAAAAACAGAAACCAAATAGCTGGACTAACTGTGGGTATTAGTTAAGTGAAGCAAAGTTCGTGTCTACTGCCGTAGCACAGTGGCTCTGAGGTGTAGCACTACTAAGAGTTTCCTGAGCACAGGCTTATGGGCAGAACGCTGACTCGTCTCCTTAGGGAAACTGCAAACCCTTCCAGAGGGTCCTGGGGCCCCTGAGACTGTCTGTGGTCCTCAGGTAAGAGTTTTCACATTAGAGAAGACAGTAGAGACCTAGTGCATGCCAACTTTTTTTTTTTTTAATTGTTTACATTTATGTCTTTACACTGTTGTGCACACATATATCCAGAAAGTTTTGCAGGCATGGGCAGGTGGAAGCCTAGTTTCTGGGTGACTGGGTGGGTTGAGGGGAACAAACAAGAGGTCTGCTGAAGGAGGGATCTTGATGCAGAGTAAGACTGATGAAGCCAACTCAAGAAACTGGACACTGGTCCACCTTCCAGCTCAAGAATGCTTGGGACACTGCTGTGCTTTTGAGTTACCAAAGCTTACAGGGCTCTTCAGATGGTGAGATGCCTCTAAACCTACTAATTTATGCCTCAAAACAATTTCTGAGATGGCTAGGTCAAAGGTAATCAGCTCCTTTTACTATCAACTGCGACATATGAATAACTAGCATTCACTGGCAACACAAGAAAAGTCTGGGTGACTCTTGTTCCCTGCCATGTCTGTAGCATGCTCGCTACTGAACATAGTTCTTCATCACTCAGAACATCAGTAATTGTGCTGATCTGAACGAACATCAGGAGTGTTCTTAAACACCTCAGTTGAAGGAGACCTGATCAGGCCATAAGAGTGCGTGAGCAGCAGCTGCTTAAGGCCTCATTATCTTTCTATCTACAGCACTGCTGTCTTATCTATCCTGCATTACACAGAGACAGAGAGGCCTAAGGCTGGCACTCTAAAAATATCTGATGTAATTAAACATTATTTTAAAGTTCTTAACTTTCTATTTGTTCAAACAGTTTATACTCAAGAGTCCTTTAAAGATCATGATGCAGAATCAGGCATTTGTATCCAAGGCTCCAAGAACGGACAGTCAAGGGAACCTATCTTGTTAAAGGAGGCAAGTCTGCTGCTGCCCAAGCACTAGCTAGCAGAATTGTAGGGCTCACTACAGAGAAAAGAGGCTCACATGCTTCCTCACAAGAATCTAGTTCTAAAATATATGAATTAATGAACAAAAAACACTGTGGTCTTAACTAGCTTTAGAGGGTAGTGTGACTTTGGGTAAAGTGTTCACAGAAAAGGTTTCCCCTCTGACAGAGGTCAGCCCCTCATTTACAGCAAAGCAGAAACACTTTTTAAAACCCAGATCTCCTGAGTTCTAATCTCAAATCCCTCACCTAATAACATCCTTGGTCTATGATCTAGACATCTCCAAACAGACCCCACAGGCCACCAAGAGGATACATTTTACTATATGAAGTATTGTGTTTTGAATCTGTAAGCACATAAAAAACAAAAACAACAAAAAACAAAAACAAACCCCAAAGGGCTTTGCAGGCACTACCACATAACACTTAAAATTCCATTACTTGGTAACCATACAGATGAACTGGATGGAGAATGAAGCTTAAACTAGTGTTGCTTTCAGCTTCTGAGTAAATTGTGAATGCCACAGGGTTTTCTGTCTCCTCAACAGCAAATGGTTAAGACTTCAGTGGTATGGAGATGCTGATCATCATCACTGTTTTCTCACAGGTAGCCTTTAGTCCTGCACATTCTTTTCATGTTTGAAATGTCAGCTTCAACGGAGGCATGGCCCAGAGGCTCCACTTTGCCTTAGCAGGACTGTTGTGAAGGAGCAGAGAATCCAGGCTTCACCTCAAGGACTAACTGACCCACTTCATGACATGCCTCTTCACACTTATTGGACCTGACTCCCCTCTCTTGACAACATACAGTATCTATGCAGCTTAGCCAAGGCTGGCCAGGAACTAGGGGTCCTCCTGCCTCTAGCCTCCCAAGTTCTGAGATTCTGAGAAGATGCCCAATCTTTACATATTTCTTAAATCAAAAATTAAAAGGCCAGGAACCTTTTTTTTTTTTTAAAATCCACTTTCCTTACTCTTAACAATTATGCATGGTACACTCACGAGTATGAACGTGTCATGGAGCTCCTAGGAAATGCGCGATGGGGTTATCATTATGTGGTATTAAGATGCTGCATAGCAGTAAACAAACTGAATGGACTGGTACACTAGACGGTGAGCCTTGATACATGCTGAGCTTTACATTTAGAACATGGGACTCTTAACTCCTCAATAGACAAAACACTTCAGTCCCATAGTTAGCTCATCCAAGGACAAAAAAAAAAAAAAAAAAAAAAAAAAAAGAGAAGACATAACAGGCCCAAGGAACCAAAAGGGTGGGCACAGAAGAAATATAGAGAAAATTAGGGCTCTTGGGGCCCAGAGAATCTGGTGCTTTTAAAGAAACACACCCATCTTGTGGCCATTTTAGATACTGCCACATCAAACTAAGTGCACTTCTGCAGGAAGAACAGGAAGCATAAGACACAGAGTACCACGAGTGCAGGGTCAGAGCTTCCTGCCCCTCCTACCAATACCACTTGGAAAAGTCGTGTGACTTCCATGAACCTCAGATCCATGCCTGCTGTGCCCTCCCTACCTGACACTAAACTGTGAAGAGTAAGATCTTTGTAAGAACTAGCTGTACAGATACCAAAAAACCACAGCATTATTATAGTACTGAAACACAATGACACACAAGTATTTGTTTCTAGCCACGTGAGGCAAAGTGTTCTCAATTCTCACATTAATCAGGAGGCACAGCCTTCTAAACAAATCACAATTTAAAACATTTAAAAATAACAGAATAATGTACCAATGAATGGCACAGCCAAACGTTTAAAATTCTACACCAAAAAGTTTGCAAGCTAGTTTCCATACCTCACCAGTCCCTTATCACAAAACCCCTTTTCAAATCTAAAGAGGACTCCAAGCCCACAGATGATTATGTCTAATTTTCTGTACTGCCTTCAGGCCTCCTCCCACATGCAGAGGACAGGACACAGGGCTCATGAGGCATTCCAATGATTAAATCTGCACCACACAGTTCCACTATGCCAACAACTTAAGCACTCTGTCTGTTTTCCTTCGTGCGTGTTGGTGTTTAGTACAGCAGCAAGACTGAAATACCCCTGGTGCATGCTTTTCTTTGTCTTTTTAGCAGAAAAGTCTTATATCCTATAGTCCGGTGAAGCTGTAGGCTTCCTGTGCTGAATGAATTTCAAGAAAAATCAGCCTCATCTAGAGTAAGTACAAATATGGTAACCACCCAAAATATACCCCAAACACACAAAGTTCTCTAGGTCTGAAAGGAATTTCATGTCCAAAACAAAACAGACATTGTATGCAAATATACTAAAGGTCAGCCCTACTTCATTGAAAGGATAGGCCCCATGAGCTTTAATTTTCTCTACATATCTTCTGTGAACAGCTCTTATTTGAACTATGAAAATAAAACATCAATCTGTTTTCAACTGATGGTACTTAGACCTCTTTTTTTTTTTTTTCCTTTTCTTTTCCAGGGCAGGGTTTCTCTGCATAGCCTAGGCTGTCCTGGACTCACTTTGTAGACCAAGCTGGCCTCGAACTCACAGTGCTCCACCTGCCTCTGCCTCCCGAGTGCGGGGATTACAGACATGTGCCACGAGTCCAGCTTGGGAACTCTTTTTAAGACATGTTCAAATCTTTGCAAAAGAATAAATGGAAACTCAACACAGCATATTTAAGCAGCCAGCCAGCCAAACAGTATTTCTATGTCAGACACTACTCTTCGCGTTAAAGACTCAGCAAGAACTAGTCTCTTCTGTACTGTGTACTGCAGTGAGGTCAGAAGTGCTGAGGAGGCTGGTAGACGTGGCTGGAGCAGACGTGTCTGGTGTCTGAAGTGAAGACACTGCAGTGAAGGGCTCATGCACACAGCTAGCACAAGAGTTAGAAGGACACAGACTAGCTGGCGCCCAGTACGGAGGGCGAACATGCTCCATGTGTGTCTCCAAACACAAGGGCCAGGCTCTGAGGCAGAAAGTAAGTAAAAAGGAACAGGAGATAGAATCAGACTCCACCGAGGCCTTGTACATGAACTGTGGGGCCTGGGGAGCCTCCGCAGGAATGGAGTCATGTGGTAAGATAAGAGTTTTAAGCAAAGAAATAAGGAACGGGAAAAGACAGATAGAGGCCACTGTGGAAAGGAAGTGGTATTAAAGTGGTCAGAGTCAGGGGATACTTTAAGGACACAGTGTGGAGTGTGAAGATACAGGCTGTGAACAAGAGGAATCAAAAGTGGCAGCAACGTGTAGAGAGTAGTATGTGATTTCTATGCTACTAATAATAACTAAATACAATATAAATGCTGCATATTAGTCGCTGTACTATTTAGGGAACAGTGACAATAAAAAAAATGTGTTTTTTTGCACACATGTATTTTTCTCCAAATATCTTCAATTCACAACTGGCTGAACCCACAGACAGGAGACCCACAGATACAAAAACCAAGTGTATATGAAGCTGTTCTGAAAACAGAAAGGTGCAAGGTATGCAACACAGCACTCCTTACTATGGGCTGTGAGTCTGTATCTGAAATGGGCAAGCCTTCATGCTTTCAGAAGTGACACTACTTTGTTTTTTGTTTATTTTGGTTTTATGAGTTAGTCTTGCTATATGGATGAGGTCTGCTTGTAGCTCACTATGTAGTCCAGGTAGGCCTCAAACTAATGAATCTCCTGCCTCAACCTCCTAAATGCTGAGACTATAGATATATATAAGCTCAGTAAATCTGAATTGTTTTTAATTACTGATAACACTACACCTGACTCCATATGACATCACAGCCAAAGCACAAGTATACTTATACAGCTACAATGTACTGTAATTATTTTCAAGCTGTGTATATGAGCTACATAAATGAGCACGAATTTGGCTACTACAGGTTCTCACCTTGGGATAGTTCAGTCAAAATAAAAATAGCAGCAATGCCACTCCCACCAATAAATAAAAAGCCCTTAACAGTTTCTCCAACACTCTGGCAGCAAACATTTAAAATAAAGAGGACTCAATGTGAACTATCAATTATATATTACAAACATAAATGATTTTATCAGAAAATCTAAGATATCAACTGAAAACTGAAGAATAAGTTACTACAAACTTTGCTTTACCTTCGTGTTGCAGGCTAGTTCCATGAGCCTCTTTGCGTTTTCTTCTGAGCGGTACCTTTTAGGAAGCTGAACCCTGAAGAACTTCAAGGCACCCTCAAAGTCTGTTAACAGCAAGTCATCCTTGGAAGTCTTGAAGAAAGTAAGAAAAACGAACCACATGTATGAAAAAAAAAAAAAAAGTCTATTATGAAGCTACACAACAAACATTTTACAATCCCAGCAACCTTTAAAATATTTCTTAGGTTTTGCAGAGTAACTTTCACACATTCCATCAATGAAAATTGCAGAGCACATTGACCACCTTTCATGAAATGAAAACTAAAGACACAATGGAACAAGGCAGGACAGCAAACACATACCTTTAGTAATCCAAGGGCGACATTAAAAATTACACTTATTCCCTGAAAGAAAAGAGACAAGACAGTATTAGTGTCTGTATCCTTGCTGTTCTGTTAGCTTTAGGGCTATCCTGGAAACATACTTAAAGAAGACTCAAGCTCCAGTTTTCCTCAGAGAATATACCAGCCCTATCCTCACACTCAAAAAGAATGAATACTTTCCCAAAATAGTCCATGATCTTAAACCCAAATATTATACTCACAAAGTAGTGAGTTATCAAGATGGCAATCCCACGTACCCCAGAACTGAATCTGGTGTGAAGTCTCTAATCTGCCTTCCTTGTCTCACCAACATAGGAATTGTGGGTAAAAAACAGGTGAGGGAAGATGCTAACAACTGTCTTCAAACTAAACTCAAACAGTGTCTGGGACTTGGTTCTTATAACTAATATTTTTCTCTCCTTTTTTTTTTTTTGAGACAGGGTTTTGCTGTGTAGTCCTGGCTGTCCTGGAACTCTCTCTGTAGACCAGGCTGGCCTTGAACTCACAGATCCACTTGCCCCTGCCTCCCAAGGATTAAAGGTTTGTTTCAAGATATAAAAAGAACCATAATATGTTATTATAATATTACAGTGGAAAAGTGTAATATTCTATTTAGAAATGACGTACGTACATACATACAAGAGCAAAGAAGGTGAAAGAATATACACCAAAATTTTATTAGTTAAACTGTAGAAATTAAAGTATTCAATAATTTCTAATCAAATTTTCCAATGTTTCTGTCATAGGCACGTTATTTTATAATTAGTTGGTTCTCCTTCCTTCCTTCCTTCCTTCCTTCCTTCCTTCCTTCCTTCCTTCCTTCCTTCCTTCCTTCCTTCCTTCCTTCCTTCCTTTCTTCCACATACACACCTCTCAAATCTCAAACTATGTCATGGCTAAGAGCATTTTCCACACTGCCTTGTTTCTTTTTAGTGACAATACTCTACTTTTAGCAAATTCCTTCCCAGCCTCAAGTCAATGCCTTTTAGCAGGTTGGTCTTGTAATTCAGCCCACCCATGGAAATTCTGGGTGAGACCACCAGCAAGACCTAGGAGCTGTGATACACACTCCAGCAGTGCTAGGAGCAGAGACACATGCCTGTACTCTCTGCATCCAGGAAATCCTAAACAAACTCCCTCTCAAAAAGAAGTACCAGCTTCCCAACACAAACACAACTGTAAGAGCTACAGCTTAGTTCTAAGGATAAGACTCTGTCAACCTCTGTCTTCCTCTACACAAGAAAGAAACCTCTATTTCACTTATTGAGTGTGATAGAGCCAAACTGAATACTAACTAGCCTAAATATCTAATATGTCTCTTCTTAGCAGAGAACCTCTGGGACAGGGTGAGCAGGACAGTGGCCTCAGGCAGAACCATCTCAGCCAGATTTGGCAATACCAAAACAGAACAGAGGACGAGAAATTTGACAGAGCTTATAGTGAAGTACACTGCCCACACAAGTCTAAGTACGGTGACCTACGATACATACCTCACATAAGAGCAGGTCAATGATATGGAAGACCATGTAGAGAGGGAATTTTGCAGTGAAAAGTGTAAGGAACCACTGGGAGGCATACATGTGTGCTTCAAGGCTGATATCCAGGAAGTGGTTGTACAGGTCAGGAATGTATTCCTGAAATAGCAAACTCATTAGTTCCGTGCACATACGCAATTATCCTATTATTTCTCAGGAGACTCATAAATATGCCAGCAGTAGCCAAAAAAGTCATATACATGTGTTTTTCTAGATATTTAGAAAAACATTATAATACTTATCAGTTCTTTTCCATATTACAAACTAATTAAAGAAAGAGGAATTCCCTAGAATAGTGGCAAGTATTTGGAAAGCCAGTTTTTATTTCCAAGTTGTGAAATGTTTTGGGAAAATGTTTCACTTTGGTGGGGACTCCTATAAACAGACACCCTTGGTGAACATTTCCTCCCTGAATGTGATACAGAAAAGGCCTAAGGAATTTGATCTTTAGATTGTTTCTAAGACTGACTTAATCACAGCACATTCCCAGCATTGTGATCTCTGCATCTTCATCACATAGTGAGAAACAACAGGAATAAATGCCACTGTTTCCCGCCTATCTGCCATTAGTTTGCACCTGTTCATCCAACCCAGTCTGAGTTCCCTTTACCTGCATGAGGCGCTCCAACTGGTAGAACTTGCAATGTAGATCTTCAAAATTTTGCTTGAAAAGTTCCCTGAGACCATAGTCAAACATGATCTTAACTAGAACACTGAATGCCTGTTCTTCGGGCATCTATAACAGATGGAGGGTGGGAGACAAAACAACTATTTTAGTATTTTTAGCTTGTCCCTCCATTGTCTTATCACAAAATGGAGTGATGCACAGAAACCCAGTTCTCAGTTTTATTTACTAGCGTTAATCACTCAGGCAAGGAATGTTTAATGGGGCCTACTGTTTGCTTCCCACTGCCTCTCCCAACAACAAGAGTGTAATGAATTATGAACCTGCAGAAGGACTGATGAGTACACAGGACAGCGAAGCTTGTACCGCCCACACAGTCAAGAACAGGTCCCTCAACCAGGAGGTGGTAGCCTCATGCCTTTAATCCCAGCACTCAGGAGGCAGAAGCAGGGAGATCTCCGTGAGTTTGAGTCCAGCCTGGTGTACAGAGCGAGTTCCAGGACAGCCAGGACTACACAGAGAAACCCTGACTTCAAAAAAACAACAAAACAAAACAAAACAAAACAAAACAAAAGGAACAGCCCCTCTGGGAGAACAGGATTAGAGGTGGGTACAAACTTGCTGGTACATACTATATTCCAGCTTTCTGAAATCACAAGGCCTTTGTTCAATCATTTTTCCTTCTGTTGCTGCTATATCATTCTACCAAATTGTTTTTTCCTTTCCTATCATTGTTAAAACAAAACAAAACAAACAGCTGTGGGACTGGAAGATGGCTTCAGTGGTTAAGAACACTTACTACTCTTGCAGAGGACCTGGGTTTGGTTCCTACCACCCAAACGGTGGCTCATAAACATCTGTAACTCTAGTTTCTGGGCATCCAGTGTACTCTTCCAGGTTCTGTAAGCACCTACATGCACGTCAAGTATATAAGCTCAAGCAGGCATATCCAAATACACATACATTAACAAAAGATCTTAAAAAGCAGCTTGTCTCAAAAACACAAAACGAAACAACAGCTACTTCTAGAAGAGACCTTCTACATTCTCAGGTCAATGTCACTACTCTAAGTACAACAGTAGTGGTGGCAGTGGTGCCACTCAAAGCCCTCCTGCATTTCTCTCTGCAAATGTCTACTTCCATGGCTTTGCAGAATAAAGAACATGGAGAGATGTCTATTCAGAGCAGAAGGAAAGCACTGGCAGTATTTTTTAAGGCTTCATGTGACCACAGCAAGCTTCAGAAAAGTCAAGAGAGTGGGCAAGCTTTTGTGGAACATGCTGTTGGAGGTGAGCAGGACATAAGAGCCAGTGAGAAAAAAGCACAGTGAAAGAGGAATACATGTTGAAGTATTGTGCATTCATAATGGAAAGGACAGGGTATTTGGGATAAATGATAAATGATATATTTCTGATATCTTTGCTATGAAAGGTGATTTCATTTTGCCGAATGTGAGGGGAAAGTGGCTTGATTTGTGTGGCATTTCTGATGCTGGGTTTCCCATTTCCCTCCCAAGAAAACAAACACTTAAAACTAAGGTAAGCAGCAGGAATTCTAAATAGGAGTAGAATTTGAGAAAGCCATTTTCAAGGAGTGATAGTTAAATGGGTATATTGGTTATTTGACTGGAACTATAAACAAATAAATAAATGAAGCCCACAGCAAGACTGAGATATAAAGTCTGGCTGAAACAACAAATCATAAAGAAAACCAGAACTTGATCTGTCTATTAATGGCATTGTGTTAGCATATTTCAATCTCCCCAGAACTAGCCTTGCTCTTCTTTAACTCTGCTGTACTGGACAGATACCACCAAGCTGAGTTTACAGTAGAAAACAGAGTGTTTTTTTCTTCACCTGTAAAGCCATCTTTACAAAAAGCTTAAAATCCTCCAAGAGATTCCTGCCCTCTCAGAGCAAACATGTAAGCTTTATTTTGGCTCTGTCTCTTTCTTCTCTACCCACCTCCCAATCCTGTTATCCTATGTCTCCTTTAATTCCACACATTTGAAATTCTTCAGTTTCTATATACTATATGATCCTCTTTGAATGCAATGCTTTCATGCCTTTAAATATTTCCATAGCAATGTTACAAGGAAAAATGACACTGAGAAGTACACGGTTTTCAGGGTCTACTGCACTGTCATGGTTTGTCTGCCAAGAGGAGCCTCAACAAGGTGTCTGCTACAGTCTTGCACTGCTCATTGCATTTTACGTGTATGGAGCCATTAAAATCCCTAAAGGCGTGCTTGTGTAGCCGTCTGCTTACAGATGGTGGCGCCATTAGCTTTGCTCACTTAATCAAATTAAGACTGTGACATTTTATGAGACAAAGTGCTTAAATTAAAACAATGTCAGTGGCTTGCAACAAAGACAGTAGGATGGTTTAGATCAAAAGTGTAAGGACAGAAGACAAGCAAATACAAAAGACAAGCAAACAGAGTGTCTGATTTGTTACTGGATCATGGTCAGAGCAGCCATAAAGGAGTCACATACAGGCAGGAGATACAGCTCACTAGTAAAACACTCATCTGGCATGGAGCACAACAGAATAACCAATAGCCAATAAAGTGCTCATCCGCTGGGAGGAACTCTGAGTGTGGATTGTACCGACACATCAGTGTGGGGTGTGATCACATTACAGTTAGAATGCAGAACACCCTGTTCTTTAAGACACAGGCTCAAATGTTTGCAATGTTCTTTTAAAAGATACTAAGTTGTTTTTGTGGAAATGAAAAAATGAAGACAAAGTGATAAATCAGTAACTGTAGTCAAATGTAGACTATTAAATATGGCTGTTTAGCTGACTATGTATTTAAAAAAATAAAGTTGGGGAGTAAAGGTCTTTATTAAATGTATGCACGAATACAGTAACATTAAATAAAAGCCTTGCTCTCTTCCCAGCATATAAATTTCCCAACAGCTATTAATGACAGTGGCTACTTCACAGACAAAAAAAGTCCCTAAGGGCCAACCAATACTGAAGTCTATCTACTCTTCTGAAAAATAAAAAGGAAATCTAACCTTGTACTAGTTTTCAGCACTGCCATTTATCCTCATCAAGTTTCTTTTCATAGTGCCATTAAATTAAGTTAAAAGCTTATAAATATACAAGTTAAAGATTCTGTCTAAGAATCTGGCCAAGCACAACCATAATCTGTGCATAAGACCAGCAGGTGCTTGTAGTGGTGACACAGATCCAGCTACTCACGTGGAGGAGAAGCACAGCTGCAAGGAAAGACTGGCCCTGGCAGTAACCAATCTCTTCATCATACACAGAATATGCCTGCACAGGGAGACAAAAACAATGCTTAAATGAATGTGACATATTCATGGGCCATGCCTGTTCTCTCAGACCTTGATGACAGGAGCCAAGATGATGCTACCCAAGGCTCACTGAAACACTCTGTACCCAAAGAATGATGCTAATACATCTTTCCAATCCCAGTGTCATATTCACAATAAAAGATGCTGTCAACATACTACTCCTGTGGCCAAGCAGAAAATCTATTAGAAATAAGTTGAGCATTAAATTGGGTTCTAAAGGTCCTAAAGCATTCCACTTCAGTCAGAACTAATCCCCCTCTCTTTGTAACTCTTTGGCACTTGGCAAACATACATAGCTATTATAGCATTTGTAATAGGCCACATTTTAAATGCTAATCTCTAGAACTCTAAAATTCTTAGGGATGGGATGCTGTGCTATTCAAGTTACTCAATCATGTATCTGGATAAAAAGACTTTTGGTGAAGACAATGAGACTTTCTGGTAAGAGTGATGGCTCTAAAATAATTTGTGGATTCCTCTGGATACTTTTTGTATTATGATTCACAACAGTAGCAAGATTACAGTTATGAAGTAGCAACAAAATAATTTTATGGTTGGGAGGTCCCAACAACATGAGGAGCTGTACTAAAGGGTTGCAGTGTTAGGAAGGCTGAGAGCCACTGCGATGTATGATCCTATGACTTCTATCTCCTGTATGACAAACTTATTTCTGTTGAAACTTCCTTTATTTTCCCACTTCTGTGTACCGAAGTTCCTATGTCCTAAGAAAGGTATTGAAAATTAGGTGTTTTAGAATTTGTTTTTCAGGCAGATGAGACACCAGTGTTTATCAGATGATAGGTTAATAATAAGCAAGTTTTATCATTAGCTTAGAGACAACATAACTTTACAAACAGATACAATCCTATCTTTATGAACTAGGATAAGATTCACTAATTTTATTATACTGGCTTATCACAGCTTGTCTGATGAGAGGACTACAAGATGAAAAGCATGTATACTTTTTCCAAAGACAAGATTCAAAAAGAGGGCTTTAGAAAGCATCTGTTTATATCAGGAGGCACACCACTTCCCATCCCTTAAGTTAATAAAAATTAATGTTAGGGACAATATTGCTAAGTGTTGAAAACGGTCATGGCTAATAACAACTAGCACAGTTCTCTGGAAAGCATTTGGTAATGTCTTTGTAGGTATTATCAGTAGTTTATCAGTTACAGAGTCAGAGGCCTGTTTCTCACTTTTGTTGAATTGTATGCACAACATTTATACACACTACTAATATCATAGTGTTGACTTACTATCCTCACTCAGCCTTCTCAGGCAAAGGGTTTAGCACAGCTTAAGCAACTTTATGTAGCAGGATGAAATATACACATGGAATCTCCATATAGAGAGAATAGAAGGGAACATGCTATTCAGGCTGATGAGGGACAAAAATGAATGCACACAGGTATTGAGAATACATGGTGTTCTTTTAAAAACAATTGGAGCATAAAGCTCAAGGGTCTATAATAAAGAAAGGGAGAAGTCATTTCATGGTTCACTGATAGTTAGGGGCTCAGCAGTGTGCCAAAGATCCTACTATCCTTGAGAACTTCACTCAGTGAGGGAATTCCGATTAGTCAATCACGCCGTAAAAGCGAGAGCTCATGAGATGCAGCAACACTGAGTCAGGAGTCAGGATAGATTACAAAACATCACCAATGAATTAAGGGGTTTTTATTCCATTCTACTGTGTTATGACTGCAGTACTCAAGATTTCTGTGGAAGTTGCACAAATGAGCTAATTCTGTGGTAGACAAGAAGCAAATTTTGGGGTAGCTTGAAAGGAGGCTAGACCCCAGAGGCTGGGCTAGGAATTCAAAGCAGTTTTTATGATTGTCAGCAATGAGCGAATGAGCAGAGGGTCATCAATCATATCAAACAACCTGGGAACATGAAAACGTGGAAAGGATGACTTCAATCAAAAGATACAGCAACTGAGAAGATGGTCCTGATGGATCCTGACCTTGCCAGCTGGTTAAAGGCATTTAGGGAAATCTGGATATAAAGCTATTACTGGATGAGAAGGACAATAATCCAATTTTGGATAAAGATTTCCAATTTAAAAAGAAAAGATTTCTCAGTTTTATTTTGAAATATTAAAGGACAGAGAAAGCAATGTAGAAAGAGGCTGATATGAAGTGAATACACAGAAATTCATCATAATAATCAAACCTTTTTTTTTTTTTTTTTTTGGTTTTGAGTTTTTGAGATAGGGTTCTCTGTGCAGCCCTGGCTGTCCTGGAACTCACTTTGCAGACCAGGCTGGCCTCAAACCCATGGAGATCCACTGCTTCTGTGCCTCCCCAGCGCTGGAATTAAAGTGTGCGCCACTACTGCCTGTCAATAAACATGTTTCTTTTTTCTTTTTTTTCTTATTAGTTACATTTTGTTAACTCTGTATCCCAGCTGTATCCCACTCCCTCCCTCATCTCCTCCCTGCCCCTTTCCAAGTCCACTGATAGGGGAGGACCTTCTCCCCTTTCATCTGACCCTGTTTTATCAGGTATCTTCAGGACTGGCTGCAAAGTCCTCCTCTGTGGCCTAAAAGGACTGCTCCTCCCTTGGGGCGGGGGGGGAGGTCAAAGAGCCAGCCAATATAGTATGATGTGGAATAAACATGTTTCTTAAATGAACTGGAAAGACCAACTTTGTTCTATGATTCTGACAGAGGCTAACTGGCACCTAGGAATTTGGACCTCAAGTTAATATAGATTTGTGTGCATCAGTCTAGTATTGAGAGTGAGGGGACCTCAAGGGGACTATGTAGAGCTGGAGAATTGCCATCTGAGTACCTGAGGACAGTCTCTGTGGTAGGGCAGGCAGAAAGAGAAAATGGAGTTACTGATGAGGCTGAAAGGTAGGAGGATAACCAAGAGGGCTGAGTCAAAGGGTCAGGGAGATCAAGAGATGGGAACTAGACACAGGAGTGTGAGGCACAGACAGTGAACACAGGGACACTTTCTGAGAACTCTGTAACATGGTAAGGAATGATGGAGGCAACAGGTAGAAGACACAATCAAGAAGTGGCTAAAGGACCTAAGAAAATTACAACAGAATCACAGCTTCGAGTGTCTTAGAGAAATTAAAACTATAAACTCAAGAACAACTTCTCTGAAGTCTGTCTTTAACAGGTCAACTCACCTACTGTGTCACCAGAAAGACTGTCTTAAATCTAGCTGATAGCTCTCTCTTTTCAATCATGAGCAGAGAGTTCTTTAAGAACACATCTTATGGCCTGCCTGGATATAAAAAAAAACTACCTAATTCTGAGAAGGAAAAGATCAAACATCAGTTCTGAAGTTAGGACAAGACTGAAAAGCTCTAGTCCCAACCTCTTTTAGCACTATAGCTCTGATGTACGAGGTTTATACTCTGTATCTTTAAGATGAGAATACATCTATTTTAAAATGGATTACAGCTGAATAGGCTATTCCTTTTACAGTGCTCAGACACAGGTCTTTTGACAGAAATGAGTATTTACCATCACTTACTTATTACACCACAATGCTACAAACCCTCCTTAATGGGCATTGTCACTTCCTACTGTTGGGCCATATTCAGAGAGTCTACTTCAGCACTAACAATGTATATAGACATTCCATGGCTCCCCAGGTGTTTTACAAACCAAGTTTGAAGTCTAAATATGTACTATAAAGGATCGGGAAAAACTGAGATAAGGAAAGCTCATGGTCTTTGTCTTCCTAAGCTTCACATTTAGTTACACTGGCTTTAATTTTTCTGTGTCTCCTTCTGGTTTTTAAACATAATTTTTTATCAAATGTTTTCTGACAGTCTCATGAACATATATAATACACTCTAATTATTTTCACCTCACCCCTCTTACCTCCCTCTACACCTGTTAACAGCATTGTGACATATCCCTTTCCCACATTTATTTTTTTGTTTTTCCGACCCACTGACTTGAACTTAACTTAGGATTCTGTATGACCAGGGATTTCCAACTCTCCACTGGACTCACCAATGGGGGCTCACTAGAGGGTACACAACTGAAGAGGACTCTTCGAGAATCTTTCAGTAGTCAACAGTTGAGTGGGGAAAAGTAGAGTCCCACGGGTCCTTGCCCTATCCATGACTGGCTGTTGACAGGGACAGCCCCGGGCAGGGCCTGTGGTTATGGGTCTGTAATACAATGGCTTCGCTCACCAGAAGATCCTACTGTGCAGGTTTTCATCTTAGCCTCTGTCTCTTACATTCTCTTATGTCCTGTTTTCTATTTATTTCCTTATTATATCTATTATATCTTAAAAAGCTAACTGGCTGAGAGCGACTTTCAGTGTAACAGCATGACCTACATGAATGTGGGTGCTCGCAGAGTCCATACACACTGGATTCCCTGGAGCTAGAGTTCATGAAGTTGTGAGGCACTAGGTGTGAGTGCTGGGAACTGAACTCGGGTCCTCCGGAAGAGCAGTGCATGCTGTCATACTGAGTCAGCTCTCCAGCCAAATTACTTCCTGAGTTTTGGTGAGTCTAAAATTATGTTATCTTTGGCTTTCAGATTCTCTCTTTTGCTGCCTATCTTTCTTTTCCAATTCTGAACATCAAATAGAAATCATACTTTGTAGAGAGCATGATAGAATGCATCTGTAATACAGGATTTGGGAACTGGAGGCAAGAAGAACATGAATTTAAGGGCAGCCCCTGAACACACAGTGAGATTGAAGACAGTCTAGACAAAGGACCCTATTTCAAAAAGAAACAAAAGACCTCAAAACAAAACTCCTCAAAGAAACAAGCCCCCAAATTACGTTTTGTAGTCTTTTATATAATTTTGAAGAAATAGAACCATCATTCAGAACCAATGCTTTTACATTTTAATATGAATACCTTGCATATTTTATATAAGGAATCTTGTCCATCTCCTCCTGTGTCCTTGAAGTAGTCATGAGCTGGAAATGTGCGGTTAATATCTCTGGTGATAGCACTGTCTTGGGGAGATTCCTGTGGACACAGAGGAAGAGGGGACCAGGAGCATTAATAAGATAAATATCTATTTGGATTTGTAGAAAAGGGTCCCATTATTTACGTACTTTTATGTGCTATAAGGTCATATTCTGCATAAGTACATATTCTGCATGTACTCCTTTCAGGGACTAATCACTTAAGTAAGGGTAATGTGAATGGAATAAAAGTGCCATTTCGTTGCACCTCATGCTACACTCCCTATGGATTGCAAACAAGTGAGGCTAGTGACCTTTCTACTTTGAACATACTTCAGATAGAAAAACCGAGCAGAGAAAGTAATGCTTAATCTAACTCTCTGGCACAAAGCTCATGTGCCCATTCTCAAACAGAAAAGGGTAGGCCTTTTAACCAGAGTTTTCTAGGGACAAATGGCACAAGAATGAAAAATAAGACCACCAAATTCTCAGGGTTCAAACACCCTATAAGAAACTTACCATTTCTTCTGACAGAGAAAAGTAAACAGGTGCCAATGAAGCTAGCAGTTATCCATGAGGCATACCAGCACTCTGCTGGTTTTAACCTCCCCAGCAGATTCTACTCATCTGCCCCCTTTCATTGACCATGGGACCAGACAATAAGAACTCATGATGAACTTCTGAAACTTGAAAAATGATAACTGGACTCCCATGGGAACCACTGGTTTAAAATATTGGTCTTACAAGATATGCTGAAACACTTCAAACATCTATTTGATTTGCCACAGGCCAACCCCACCTCAAGAAATTCTAATAATGATGAGTTTAATAAGTTCTTATCAGAAAAAGATATTAAATCTTACAAAGTTCTAAACACAAATACTTGTCCTTGATACTGTGACTTGAGAGAAGCTCTGGGTAATGATTTTAAATAGACCTACCTGCTGCTGTCAACTCAAGTTTATACATGTTCAGCCCCCAGAAACACTGTCAGAGACTGCTGTAACTTTTATGTTTTTTTGAATACCTGGATCTTCACACAGTAGTGAATGTTAAAAAAATACCTGCTGCAGTTTACAAAAGTCAATTCTCAAGAAATCTCTATGCTTCTGTATATTCAAATGTAGTAACAGTTTGAATGAAGTAACTGTAAATAGTTGTATTTTGATACTTGCATTTTAAGCAACTAAATAAGACAGCATAAGTAGCTCAGAAACTACACACATACACAATGACACATTAGGCTGGCTAAAAGTAAAATACCAAGCATTGGGGAGGGAATGAAACACCTGGATGCCTTACAAACAGTGGTTAGTCTACGCCACCATGCAGCCACTTTGGTAAATTACACAGCATTCGCAGCATCTACATGTTTACCACTGGCTAAAAAAAAAAAAAAGTGCTACGTGGAGAAATGAGTGACTCTAAGACTGAGGCACACAACACAGAAGACAGCCCTGAAGTATTTTGTATTGCCAGAAAAGACAAAAACAAACAAACAAACTTCTTTTATTACTACCACATACCATGCCAACCAACCAATATCAATAATGCTATGATTAACAGAATGCCTATATTGATGGAAGTATGTCAGAAGTATCCTGACAGCCAATGAAAAACATTCAAAAAAGGGACACAATAATGTTGAGTTATAGCCTTGAGTATGAGGAATACCCATGAGTCAGTACACATAAAAAGAAATAATAGAGTGAATAAATAAAGTAAAGAGATAAATCACGCAGGCAGGCGAATTTTAACTAGCTTATGTGCACGTTATGTCGGCAAGGAAGGAGTGTGCTACCCTCCACTATTCAAGCATAGGCACTCTTGACTGCAGTACAGCATAGATGAGTGGGGGTGAAGAGCAATCATGCAGCAGAGAAACCCAGAACTGTGGTCTCACACAGGTGAGACCAGTAGTAACAGTGGTAAGCATTCTGCTAGCAGGCACTCTTCATGTTAGAAAAATGGCTTTGACCTTATTTCTTCCTCTCTTAATTTCTTAACTTCATGAGAAAAACAACAGACAACTTCTTAAAGTACATTATACAAAATGCTTGATCAGTATCCCTTAAAATCACCACATAGATCCTTGTTCCTTTCATTAGCAGATGTCATTATCAACCAAAATCTAGATGCCAGGTGTTGCTAATTTATGGTGTCTTCTTCCTTAGCTCCAACCATGATGCTTCACGTGTGGGGCTGGGAGTGGCAGTTAAGTTCTTAAAAACAGTTTGTAGATTAAAATTTAAGGGAATTACAGCACATGGGTATCTCCTTGTTCCCAGATCAAAACTGTGCATTAGTTCAAATCACAGTGGTGCCACACTTTGTAATCTCTCTGGCCGTCTGTTTTTATAACTCACTGTGAGAACTGGGCGACCGGGTAACTTCTCAAGATAAAGAGGTGCTGGGAACTAGAGGAAGTCCTTTGGATACATACTCTTTGTAAACTCAAGTTGGAAAATAGAAAGCTAAGAATGGCAGGAAAAAAAAGAAAGTACCCAAACAAAGAAAATGCAGTGGAAAGCTGCCATGAAAAATAACGAGTAGTAGTTTGTTGCCCAAATGAAAAGTTCTCAAGAATAATTCCAAATGCTATAAATGCCACAAGACTGTATATAACACTTAATAAAACAGAAGCACCCCACTCAAATACATTAATATTTATCCATGAAACAGGGTCTCACAATATAGTCAGGCTGTCCTCAGTCTTCTGTGTGCTGAGACTACAGGTGTGTGCCATCATACCTAGCACATGTCCTAGCTTTAAAGTGTATTTTCATGAATAAAATCTTCTTGCATATCCTTCTTGCTTTGTACATTGTTGAGGCAGCATCATTCATTTCTGTCACCACTGTGAACTTTAGCCCAAATGCACTGAGAGCTGTGTGCTGGTCCTCCTGTCTTTACCTTTCTCCCACCTCACCTAGCACTGTGTGCTAGGATTACAGACGATCACATCCAGCTCTGAACGCAGTTCCTGAAGATTGACTGCGAGAACACAATAACAAGGAATAATAAAAAAAAGTTGTGGTATTTGGGCAATATAAAACCTAGGCTTCCAGGCTTGTGTGCTATACTTTGGGTGCAACAATGCATGTCTGTAATACCAGCACTCGGGGAGGCTGAGACAGTTGGATCTCTGTTAGTTCGAGGACAGCCTGATCTACAAAGTGAGTCCAGGACAGCCAAGGCTACACAGTGAAACCCTGTCTGGAAAAAAAAAGTCAGCTATAGCTTGTTTTTAAAAAAAAGAAAAAATATATATATATACACACACACACACACACACACACACACACACACACACACACATTCATATATAGAGGAGATATATATCCTTTAAACTGGTTGGATAAAAGCCCGAAGAGAAAAAAAAAAAAAACACAAAAACAAAATTAAATTTAGGTGGTACTGAAGACAGACAGCTTCATTCTGTCAATCTTGTCATTTGTAGTTTTGTTGTGAGTTTACAGGTAAGGGCTGACCAGCTGGGGCTACAGCTTAGCAGTAGAGCATGAGTGAGCCCTGGGTGCAATCCCTATCACTGAAAATAATGGTAGGAAGATTGACTGCAAGAACACAATAACAAGGAAAAATAAAAAAAGTTGTGGTATTTGGGCAATATAAAAAAAATCTGAAATATCTTAAAATTGTATTTCAATTGTATTTATCATATTTAATAGCTTTTTAAATTTGATAGTTAAAAAATCATAAACTTTTAACAGCTTTGTCTGTTAACATCTGAATACTATGCAGATGTTAAGAGATGTATCACAAGAATCCTAGTAAAATAAAAACAAGCTATGTGTAGTAATCAAATAAAGTACTTACTTCAAGAAAAGTTATCAGTATTTATGAAAAGTAGGAGAAACCCTTAGGCCTTCTCCTAGTAACATGTGCTCTCCCATTGCTGGATGAACACCATGACCGAAAGCAATCTGGAGAGAAGGGTTACACATCCCAGCCACAGCCCACCACTGAGGGGAAGATAGGACAGGAACCTGGATGCAGGAGCTGAAACAGAGCCCATGGAATACTGCTGACTGGCTTGCTCCTACTTAACCTGCTCTTTTATAGTATCGAGGACCAACGTCCTTCGGCACTGCCTGCAGTGGGTTGGGCCCTCCTATACCAATCATCAATGAAAAACTACCCCTACAGATTTACCTAGAGTCTACATGGAGGCACATTCTCCATAGCGGTTTCCTCTTCCAAATGACTCTAGTGGGTAAAGTTGAAAAAAAAAAACCAAACCCAAACTACCAGCACAGCAAGTATAATGGTTTTTTTTTTTTTTTTTTTTTTTTTTTGTCTTGTTTTCAACACAGGGGTTCTCTGTGTAGCCCTATGCTACTTGCCTTCTATCTCTATAGCCGGAGCTACGGAGAAACCCTTTCTCAGAAAGCCCCCTCCCCTGAAAAAAAACAGTATTATTTTAAACATTTTGGATTTTGTTCTTAGTTCTGCCTGACTATAGGCAGATGTATTTTTATTTTAAAACTGCAAAATATGCACAAAATTTTTATTTGATGAAAACATACACTAAAAAGTATAAAATAGGGGTTGGGAGAGATGGTTCAGCAGTTAAGTACATTGGCTGCTCTTCCAGAGGACCTAGGTTCAATTCCAAGCCCCAACATAACTGTTTATAACTCCAGTCCCAGGGTATCTAACACCTTCATACAGACATACATGTAGACAAAACACCTATGCACATTAAATAAATAAATTTTAAAAAATCTTTTTTTTTTTTTTTTTTCAAGACAAGGTTTATCTGTGTAGCCTTGGCTATCTTGGACTCACTTTGTAGACACCAGGCTGGCCTCGAACTCAGAGCAAGCTGCCTGCCTCTTGCATCCATGAGTGCTGTGATTAAAGGCATGCAACACCATGCCTGGCTACCAAATCACTTTTTAAAAATTATAAAATAATGAGCTTTTATGGTGGGGGGGACACTAACTACCACACTACTGAGTGTCCTTGTCAAAACTTTCTTCTAAGAATTGTAAGCGTTTTCCATTCCATGGAAAGTGAACCAGTATCTATAACCCTTTT